ATATGAGTAATGGAACATGTATCAATTGAAATACTGCGATTATGAACGCGATGTTTCTCGTTGAAACAAAATGACGTCTGTATGGAAAATGGTTTCCTGTTGACTGTATATTTTGTATTGTTCTTATTTGTTTCTTTATAACAAGATAAGTGGCGATAAAGCACAGAGTGTTGATAAAAATGCAAACAGCTAGAAAATACATATTCAATGGACCATCATTAGTGGCCTTTATGAAATCGAATTCCTCTTGCCTGATTAACGGTGTCAGTAAATAACGCACTGTTAACTTGATGCACAGGAGAACGCATATGGAAACGACAGTTACTCTCGTTATATTCCGTTCGTTTGCAATTCTGGTATACACATACGGGGAATAAAGGCAGACGACACGTTCAAGTGACAACATCGTCACTGCCAGCCACGACACAACTGATACAATCCGTACAAGCTCCGTGAATATTGCACCTGGTATTTCCTTTAAAAATCCAACAACGTATGCCAAAATACAGATGACGAGAAACAACGAATTGCAGACCAATGTTATACTTGTCAGAAATTTAGCAGCAAAAGGAATACGTTTTGTCGTCATGACTGCAGCGCACGTGAAAATGTCACAAAGAAATGTAATTAAGACTAAACATAAAAACAGATATTTTGCCAAATCACTGGCAAATATTCGTTGTAAAGTAACACTTGAACTATTTGTTACTGTTGCATTGTCTAAAACATCCATTTTTTTTCTTTTACAATTCCTCTGGCAAGATGGATTCCTCTTGTAATATAATATAAGAAAGGCAATTTACGACAGACTCAAAATAAGGTTTATGTTGTTAGATGAAATATATTGAGAGACATAAAGTATACCACTGCGCAATTAAAATTGATATAAAATATCTAGGCCAGGTACTTAGACTTTGAAAGAGACATCGAGATTATTATTGAAAATACGATGTCGTTTTCCTGTGGTTTGAAGGTAGAAAAATGTCTGTAAAAATAATTAAACCTATTAGACTTCTAAAACATGTAGATCTCATATAATGATGTCATATTCTTGTACAACCATAGATTCATAGAACTTTCCAACTAATTAAGTATAAGTTTTTACCTCAAACAAAAAGATTTATTTAACTTATTAATGGTCATAAATATGTACAAATTAATACATGTATATATTTGCTTCCTTATAGGCAAATGATATAAAAAAATCTGCAAACATGTGAAACATAATGTTGAAATGAAACAAAGTGGTATTTTGATTTGAACACAAGCTATTAAATCACTATAAATGTACTAACATAACAAAGCACAAAGAAGCAAAAGTTGATGAAGCTTTTTGGAAACTGAAACACGATACCAAAAACAAAACGTTTTGAATAAAAGATACAGCATTTTTAAGCTTAATATGTCTTTAACCCATTACGTTATATACACGCCTTTTAACGGCTTCCTCTCCCATTTTTGTCTCAAATGGTGAAAAAATGCCTTATTTAGGCCCCAAATACTTGTCTTTTTTGAGAAATGTTGTCGAAAAAGTGACCTCTTTTTCGGCGCGGCCCCAACCAAAAGATACATCAGGGTATCGGGTTGCCACAAGGGGGAAGATGCCCCCTTCTGTTTGGGGGGTTTGAAGGGGTCGGAGTCCCCCTCATCGCCAAGAAAATTTTGGACTTGTGAGAGGCTATAAATTACCCCAGATTGATCAAAAGGTAACGTGTTAGCAACGCTGAAAAGCATTTGACTCTATCTCAATCCATTGAGAAGTTGCAGCACTTTGAAATCAATTTTGATGGAAAAATCAACGCAAAATAGTGATTTTTGGCAATTTTGAGTTGTCCCCCTCGTTGCCATTCTAACAGAAAATTTAAGCCTGAGCATGTTGTTGCAAAGGGCAATGGTCCAGTCAACATTTGTGCCAAGTTTGATGAGTGTTGAAGCAGTTTTTATAGTATTATAGCAATTTGAACTTGTAACGAGAACTTTTTCAATGAAAACAGCCATTTCCACAAAATTCTCATGAAGTAATGTGTTAATGATATATGAATATAGTGGAAATAACAGATTAGTGAAAAAAATTAAGTGCTGATTTTTGTCTACTAACTAGTTGTAATTTAAGCCTTACTAGTAACTGTTACATTCAACTATGATAATTCTTATATGAAGAGAAAATTACCAAAACAATCATGCAATCTATAGTTCTTGTATGATGAAGAAAATAATCAAAATATGATTAAAAAAATCACTAGTTTCAGTTATTGATTATATGAAGAAAATTATTTTCAATCACGACGTAAATACTTGTATGAAGAAAAAACATTGAAAACGATGATATTAGCCGCGCCAATATAATGGGTTTGCAATCAGCATGGATCCGCGCAGTCTGATCAGGATCCATGCTGTTCGATGTCAGTTTCTCTACTTGTAATAGGGTTTGTAAGCGAACAGCATTGATCCTGATCAGACTTCGCGAATGCGCAGGCTGGTCTGGATCCATGCTGGCCGCAAACCCATTATGTTGGGTTTGTCGTGAAGCGGCTCATGTAATAACGACGAGAAAAGTTTTATGAGGAATATTATTAAAACCCATTTGAAGGCTTACATAAAGAAAAAAAAATACGAATTACTATGATAATTCTTTCATCATCAATAATTATGATAATTTATAATATGATAATTTTCAAGTCAAGAAAAATCACCAGTAAATGCAATCACATTTATATGAAGAAAAAAGTTATCATTACCATGGTAATGCTTATATGAACAAAAATCATCGATAACTATGTCAATTTTTGTAAAAATGACAAGAGATAGATCTAAGTTGTTTTATACAAATTTCTATCTATCGTGAATTTCAATCATTTTGCAGAAATGTAAACAATATCTTAACCTGATGTTAATAAGCTGTGAATGTTCATGATTTCACACTATATATAATGGACAGACGCTGTTTAATCACATCAATATTTACAATTCAGTTATTTCTATAAAAGCAATAATAATAGTATACGTGTTTTAGTAATATACAATGCATGTATATAGTAAAATTAAAGGGCTTATAAAATTTCAAGAAATGTCATGACTTTATGACTTTAAAGCTCATCGAATTTCCAGATATTTTCTCCTCAATTGTTATTTCCCTCATTTATTTGTTAGACAATATTTTCTAGCAATGTTTATTTGTTAGTAATCCAGACCGATTACTAGGTCAATTGAATTGTTATTTGTGCCGTGTCACGACAAAACCAACGTAATGGGTTTGCGACCAGCATGGATCCAGACCAGCCTGCACATTCTCGCAGTCTGATCAGGATCCATGCTGTTCGCTATCAGTTCCTCTACTTGTAATAGGGTTTGTAAGCGAACAGCATGGATCTTGATCAGACTGCGCGGATGCGCAGGCTGGTCTGGATCCATGCTGGTCGCACACGCACTATGTTGGTTTTGCCGTTACACGGCTCATTTATTAGATATAAAAGCTTCATGAACGATAAATTTTAAATTCAAGCATTCCTAGATATTATCAGAGCTCTTTTTGCTAATTTCACATAAGTATATTACATTGAAATAGATTGAATTATGTTCACAGGATGTCTTTTCGCCCAAACGTCCGTTTGTTTGTTTCGATTTCTTACCATAAATTTAATTTTAACCATTGTACCATTTAACTATGAAATATTTTTTGAGTCTAAATTTACATATTTACCACTGCACATTTTGTATAGTTTGGTTGCAATGACTTTTTTATTGTGTTTTAACTATGACTGTAATGTCGTATGTTGACCTATACTTGATTTAAATTAGTTTCTGTTTTCAAAAGATGAAATAGCATTGCTTCGACTTTTATCGGTTTCGTTTCTTCGAACTTTTGATATCTGAGTATCCAATTTACTATATTTTTCATTATACCTTTGGCATTTTTTTTAAACAATTATGACTGTAAGTTCTCTTTCCCACATCTCATTTAACATCATAATAAAGTACCGAAAAGTCCGCGATTTCAAGTTGCAGCAGGGTCTTTTAAATAGAACAACCCTAATTGCAGTTTTGTTACTTAAACATTACATATGGTTGTATTCTCCTTATTTCAGCATCTCTTTCAAGATCCGTTGTTTTGTTGATTCACCTTAAAAGAGCTTTCCTTCTATTTGGTGCCGATTTTTATGAAAATTTAGAAATATTTCGTACACTGATTTAACTTCTGTCAAATACAGTAAATTACATGACAATTAAATGAGCTTTTAACTCTTCTGATAATGCCAACCATTCACATTTCATTTTGCCAAAAAATGCAGGTTTAGCACATACATGTACTTCGTTAGTAATGAGGTAAGAATACAGTGAAACGAGAAGAGTTAAAAAATGAAAATGCATCCAAGCACGTCAAATTTGATATTTATAGCAGAGACATAGATAACAGAGATAAGCAGCTCCTGTATATTCCATTGAAATATCACTCATGCCTATCAAAAAAGAGAAAAATTAGGCATTTTGTAGCAAATAAAACTTATTGGATGTACATTTGATCCTTTTATATCATACACCATATTAAAGTTATTTTGTAATCTATTGCTGATGATAAATATTAAAAACTTTCCTTGCCTTTCATGTAGATGTCAGAGTTATGAGTCTTGACATACATTATGTGATTGCTTTAAGTCTTAGTAAATCCTTCAGTAATAAAAACAGAAATAGTAAAAATAGAAAAAATAAAAATAGCAAATTTTATACGAAATTGCAGGTTAAAAGAGGAACTTGTAGATAATGTTGTGTGTGATGATGATAAAGAATATATTTTAATTTTGAAGTAAATCCTCTAGGTAAGTTATAAAAAACATGCTGTAGAAATCTGGACACAGACACTATAGGAAGTAGGACAGATTTTAGTCAAGTTAAAAACAAGAATATATAAAGCATGCTTGTTGATCTCCCTTTTCGCTGAATGTTAAACAAGTTTTATCCCTTTCAAAAAAGTTTCATTATTTAAAAACAAATAAAATAAAATTCAAGTTTAAAAATATTTTAATTCAACTATAACATAAACAAACATAAATACATTAAAACATACAAATAAAACAATAAGGAGATTCAGCTTCTTACTACTTGTCACTAAAGTTATGTCATACTTATTATCAAACTCAAATATTCTCAGAGCTCAAAAAATATAAGAGCCTTCATAATGAACAAATTTTCACAAGATTACAAACTGATATAATTCTGTAAAATTCTGTAAAAACCTGGGACAAAAAATAACCTTTTCTGTCCCAGCTAGAACTGTTTTGGTCAGTAACACTGTGTACACCGCAATACATTAGCAGACTCAAGTTTCAAGCATGTACTTCAGCTTTTTCAGATGTGAATGTATTAACAAATGTGCATTTATCCCACAGTAAGGACACTTAAGACATGACTGTGTGTGTTTTTAAACTAAAACTCCTCAGAGATTGTAGTGATACAATTCTGACAAAACATTTACCTATTTTCTAATTTCAAAAGTAAAAATCCTTGCTAGAGCATGGGTCAGTGAACTGACTGCCATTATGACAAAATAATCATTAACTTCGTTTTAAAAATGAAAATAAAAAGACATTAATGTTATTGTTGGCATTAAAATGAAAATTTAAATCATTGTTCAAAATAAATATAAATAGGTTAAGAAAATTGAATTTCCATAATTTTTCTTATAATTTCAAGAGCTAAAAAAGTATCATTTCAATAGCTAAATAAAAAGAATACCTTTACAAAGGATATATGTTAATTTAAATAAGAATAAATGATATTAAGGTTTGGTTAGTCATGCCAGTATTCTGTATTCTGTTTAACCAATACCTTTAATGATTAATAAGATATAAAGTTACACACAAAACATATTGTTACTATTTTTCTAGGGTCAGTAAATATAAGTAATGAGTAATTTTCTAGATATAGTTTAGGTGTAAAAAAACTAAATTATATGAATAAAACACATTGTTACATGCTTTTCAGTATTATTTCACAGTAAAATGATCAAAATATTATAACTTTATTTAAATTCATATGAAAAGAATTTATTAAGACAAAAATGAAAATATCATGAAAATTAGACTACATTACATTGCAAGTAAAATATGCTCAATTTCAAGTTTCAAGAACATAAGATAAAGTACATGTATATGCACATCCCAATTTGAAACTGGAACAATTTTGTGATATCTTTCAGCATTATTTTTTCACTATGAAAAAATTGTGGCATCATGGTCTGATGACTTCATGTAGGAAACACAGTAATAATCTGTCAAAATGACTTAGAACTGCTATAAAAATTTAAACAAATAGAAAATGTTTGTTTTTAATGTAATAATAAATAATATGAGTATTCACTCATGATCACCGGGCTGATATACCCCTGAGAATGTCACTATTAAACTAATGAAAATATTGCATCTGGCGTTCATTCTGTGAAATATATTTTGATTTTACATGCACAAAAATCAAATATCCTCTATATGTAACCGTTATTGGACTAATATTTTAAGCTTGATTTCTCTTTATTTCCCAACAAATAATCTGTACCGAAAATTACCAACATTGGACTTTAACATGTTTTCTAAAAATATTTAACAAAAAAATGATATAACATTTTATATATCAATATTTAACAAAATAATGATATAAAATGTAATCAACCATGTCTTAAATTAAGAATTAAACATATCTGGTCATAGACACAAAATATAGTGCCTGAAACAAACATAGCTTTCAATAGACTGGGACTCAATCCTTTATATAGTCCAAGAATACCTTCTTCCTTTACCAAAGTTTTTATACAGTGTACCAGTCCACTGTACTTGCTGACCTTTCCAAATCGATGTCTTGCTTCCTCAAAACCTTGAATTTGCAGACGTTTCTTCATTAAATCAAGGGGATAAATTAATAGCTTGCTGAAAAATCCGGATCCTGAGCCACAAATAAAACTTTCAATGGTATCTGGAAAAACACGACATATGTAGTTTAAAACCTCTACAGTTTTCTCTCCAAACCAGCTTTTAAATTTTCAATAAAATTTAAATCAAAAGCTTCAAAGATAAACAATATAATTATTTATCTTTAGTACCTATTTTAATACTCTTGGAAGGCATTTTAAAAATTTGAATGTCTATAAAATTTAACAAGCAAAAAATAAGTAATGACAGTTCCTGTATTATTATGTCTAAAAGTTAAAAAATCAAAAGTATCTTCAGCATATGAAACAGTTTAAGCAGTCAAACTTATCTGTCAAAGATTCAGTGGATATCTAACACACATTGGTCATTTTGTTTGATGCATACAATATGATAACTTATTCTGACAAACTTTGTTGATAACTCTTAATATGCTAAATACATGTATAGTAAATGGACTTGTCCATCTTTTATAGACTAAATTATTCATCATTTCTAGGAAATATGTCAATTTATAAACAGACTATACAGTGCAAACCAAGATCAAACACATGGATGTGCCAGCTGATCTTGGTTTGCAATGGCTGCAAGGGTAAAATCTATTTCCGCTAGTAGGTATTAAAAGGGCAATGAATACTATGAATACAAATATAAATACAATGTTATATTTCTTACACCTGATCTCAGCTTTGTACATGTTTATAAAAAGATTAATACCTGGATGATGGCCTTGAGGAAGATTAAACACTGTATTCCATACGTTTTGAAGAAGTGCATAGAATCCGAACTGTAGTCCCATCTGTGGAGCTATACCTATAACAGCAGGTGTGAGACCCTTATAAAATCCTCTCACACCTTCTACTCTATAAATAGATCTGGCAGCATGGTTGAGTGATGTGTAGGTCTGAAATAAGCCAGTTACCAGACCTTTCTTGTAAAATGTTTCCTTTTGTAATACTCTTAGTATCTTTTTATATAAGTAGCTCAACATGCCTTTTTTGTTCATCCCATTTTTACAGACGAGAAAGATATATATTTACTTAAATTGATTATCACTATACAAAAATATGCAAATTAAAATATAAAGATTTTATACAAGCACATGTAATTAGTCCCTTTACTTTCAACAGAATGATCATTTTGTGTAACTGTTTGAAAAGCAGATAAGCAAGATATGCATAAATGTGATATTTTTTTATTTCTTAGTACATTGTATTCATAAATCTTTATAACCTATGTTTGCCATTCAGTTGTAATACTAATACATACATATTTCTTTCCTTGGGTTAAAATAACAAAATCTAGATCATACTTTCCAGACCTTTCATTGTGGAAGGAGACAAACCCAAAAACAACAATAACGTACCAAAAACAAAGGATGTGTGGTCAAGATATGCATCACAGGGCTGTGACATAAGATTTATCAGTATTTTAATTTGTGGTCTGAGTAATCATGTTCAAAAAGCTACCTGTATCAATAAAATAATTGCAAATCATGTAGTTTACCTTAGGTTCTCCCTGAGCGACAAATCTGGTCCTTAATACATCAACTGGCTGTACAGTCATAGTAGAAAAACATGCTGAAATACCACCACATATCAGGTGAGTCAGTGGACGATATTCTTTCCCATATTTCTCTGGTAATATCTCCCATGCTACCTTGGTTGTGTATTCAAATACTGAAAACTGAAGTAAGAAAGATAATTTAGCATAAACTTTAAAACTACCGTTGTCATTTAAATCAAATGCAGATTTTCTTTTCAGTTACATGTATATATACATGTATATCCCTTATAAAACATTAAGGCAATGCAATTTTTTGAAAGTAAGAAACAGGTAATAAAAGTTAAACTGAAATCCATATCTGACTTCAAAATACCACTGTGTTTACATTTGGCTACTTTTATGACAAATTATTTCACTTCAACATTACTGTCTTCAGGTTATACATATCTAACATGCTTTTAATCCATTAGCAAAACAGCATGAAACGATGTTTGCTATTTCTGTAATAGTAAAAATTTATTTATTTCAGATACTTAATAAGCCTTTAATGGTAATTACTGTCTGTATTAGCAGCTTGTGTGATTCTCTTTCTTGCATATTAAATATTTATAAGCTCAAAATAAAATTAATGAAAGCCAATATTTTCATGTACAATTTTTTATAATATGGTATTATATACAATTATGACTTCATTCATAACAATGGCAAAATGCTACCATTCAAAGCATAGCTAATTATTTTACAGACTCCTAGGTGTAAGTATCATCTGTAACCCACATTATATATATTCTAATGGACACATTAATAATGCAGTATGTATGATATACATATATACCATGAGTAAAAGGCCATGGGGTATAAGATATCATTCCCAACATTGGTGCATACACTAGAAAATTCAGCCTGATTTGCAAGAAAGATTACAGTTTCATCAACCAAGAATTTGGTGCAATCAACTGAAACGCTGAATGAGAAGAAAAACAATTTGTTTAATAATCTAACCTGCACAATTCCATAGCCAACAGACAGCACCTGAGCTGGTATATGTCCCTTCCATAATGCTCTGTAACTTTCCTCTTTCACAATACACCTGAATGCTTGATACAAACCATTGTACTTTGATGATGAGCTCGACTTAGATATTGGTTCAATTTGAAGCTGCAAAATTAAGTCATCAAACACACAAAATGAACAAATACATGTATTTACATTTGTAAGTGATGACTTTAATTTCCAAGGATAAAATGGTATCCCTTTTAAGGTTATCTACCAAAACAAAATGTCACTTGTATACATAATGCATATAGCTAAATATGACAGTATAACAGTGTTGACTTCTTGTTTAATTTTTTAACAATGGAATCTTTCAAACTTACAATAAACAGTATCAAATTCAAAACACATTTTTATGAATATAATACATGTATGCCATTAAAGAACAAAAGACTACAAAAGAAATTTTAAGATTCCATTGATTATGGCCCACGAATTTGTCCAGAAAATTGGTATTACATAATCCATTCTTGATATTAATAGGAAACATAAAAACATAGCAATAAATGTCTTGGAATTTCTAATCATTCAAGAGTCATTAAATGATTTATAGCCTAATTTGAAAATCAATAAAACAGCAATGTTATATCTATTACCAATTTGGCAAATCTGTTAATACATCATTTAAAATGTTATTGTGCGAAAACAAAATTTCAAGCATAAAAAAAAGAAAATAAAGTTTACTTGTAGTATGATACAGAAAAAATAAATTTTCCTTCATCTATACTCTATAACCAACAGCCTATCTGATATAGTGATTTCAATTTGAAAAACCTTTTAAACAGATTCATATATTACCTGAAATCTGATTTTGAGAACATCAAATGGTTGAGTTACAGCCCTTGCCACAGCATTACTAGAAGCAGCTGCAATAACATAATCCTGCTCAGTTAGTTTGAGTTCTGGGTTATAGCCAACCATTAAATTACTGCTCCTGTCCCGAATCTAAGTAATAAGATACCACTAACATGCACAGAATTGATCTGGAAAAAAAGTCACACCATAAACTCAAACTACCAATCAAGTACTGTACCCACAGGTGTTTGGCCTGTTGATTGGTCTACACAACAACAAAAAATATAGTGTATATAAATTAAGTAAATATAGATGTTTCTTGGGGCTTTTTTTCTGGCATATTGACCTTTCAGTGCCCCAAACACCAGTAATTGATCCTGGTAAATTCTGTCAAATAACAAGAATATCAAATTATCAATCTACAATACCAGATATATCATCTCATCCTTTTTGATGTGATTTGGAGTATTCTTTTGTATTATGTAGTACATTGTAATTTATATAAATCAAATTGATATAAGTAAAAGTTTCATTGTTAATTGCTGGAATTCATAAAATGATAAATATTAGGGGAGAAACATGTGCAGCCTGAGCGGGACTCGAACCCGGGACCCTCGGAATACCGTACCGCAAATCTACCCACTGAGTTATCCAGCGGCTTACACACTATCTCCCCTGAATATTGAACAGTTCTGAACCGTGATATACTTCCCCACTATAATGAAATTCGTCCTCGAAGTATATAAATGTGAACCGCCACATCCTGCAGCCATATTTTTCTTAAAATAAGGGGTATTTTCACAAATTAAAGAAATCTCCTTATTTTTTATGTCTGAACTTTCTTCTTTGCTTAATTTAAATTCTAAAATCTCCCTCTATTTGAAGAAAAATCTCCCACTTGCTCAAGAAAAGTTCAAATGTATGTGGGTACAGAGAACATTGTGAAATTGGACTCAGAGCTTATACCATTAAGTCCCCCATGTCACAGGGTGAGAAACATGTGCAGCCTGACCGGGACTTGAACCCGGGACCCTTGAAATACCATACCACAGCTTTACCGACTGAGCTATCCAGCCGCTTACACACTGTCTCCCCTAAATAGTGAACAGTTCTAAACAGTGACAAATGTATGAAATAAAATTATTCAGGTCAGGATTATACAATTTCTAGTTCTACAATACATTTAGATCTACTGATCAAATTAAATAAGGACTTCAGTATTCCTACTAAGGTAACCCTTTATATTTCTTTGTAGAATCTACATTTGTATGAGTATGTAAGATTGAAATTACTATGAAAAAACAGTGAACACTGTTGAAATTGAATGACATTGAGAAAGTTTCCGCTTCACTTTTCCACACTGACACGCACTTTTAACAGTCAATGGTTCAGCATCACTATCATGGTTATTTTCTCAAAGAAGATTATCCGCAAACTGCGTAAAAAGCAAAATATTTGACCCGATCAAACGCTGTGCACGGAAATTCTCAACCGTTTTGACGATGTAAACAAATAATATATTGAGCTTTTTTCACGAATTAAAAATTTACTGATGCACCGAAAATAAAATGCGGGAAGTTTATAGATGTCTTTAGTAGGTAATCATATTGCTATTATCAAGAAATTAATACAGTCTCACTGTAGTTATAATAAGTCATTTTAATCATTTGATTCCCTAACAGTTAAAAGGATACAGAGTGTAACGCAGAACATAATTTTATACTCGTAAAAATAGCATTATTTCGGATACATTAATTTCGGATAAATAACTGCACCATAGCGATATTGTAATGTTTTTAGTTTTTTTTTTTTCATTTGGTACTTCAGATTAGTCGAACAATTACTATTAACTACCATACATAATGTGATTTTAGCTTAGCTGGAGCATAACACATTCCAAAGTCACACTTCACATGGCAGATTTTAAAGGTGTTCCTTTTACTAGACATGTAATGTTTCTCATAATGTGATCTCCTGGCAGGATCCAAAATAATCCTGTCCAAAATTATCTGGATGGCTCTTTGACAAGTCTAATTAGTTGGACTAGAATACCGGATATTCATCTCTCAGTAAAATAAAATGCAAACAATATAAAATCAAACATAGCACCTGTCTATAAGTAATCTTAACTCACTACCTGCCCATGAGCATTGATAAGTGATAAATATGTACGATATGATAGCGGATTGGATATTGTTTTGCTAATTTTGTTTGTTTGATTGGGTTTTACGGCACATCGACACAGGAAAGGTCATATCGCGTTTCAGCTTTACTGGTGGAGGAAGACCTCAGGTGACCCTCCGTGCATTATTTCAGGCACAACCAGGCACCTGAGTAGAACCACCAACGTTCCGTAAGCTAGCTGGATAGCTTCCTCACATGAAAGAATCCAAGTCCCTATAAGGATTCGCACCCACAGCGGTGAGGGGCAAGTGGTTTGATGTAAACAACCTTAACCACTCAGCCATGGACGCCCCTACGTTTTGCTAATTGACAGCAAGTTGTCATAATAAAGTTTAAAACAGTTCATTCCCCTTGTTGTTTGTTGAAGTTAATCTCAAAATGTTTAACTAAACACTGTGTCTGTTTTTTGTTTTTTTTAAAGGTTGGCTAATTCATTTTAACTGGATCATTTAAAAACATGTTTGAAATGCATCAAAAGCTTAGCATTTCTAATTCAGTGGTTTTAGCATTAGCTGATAATTTAAGTTGTTTTTCTTAATGAATTACACATATATAACATATTTTCTTTGAAAATGTGGATTTAAGAAATGAAAAATCCTTGCACTTGTTTAAAAAAAAATAAAAATTTGGGTCTTAATTTCTTCTTTCATTCTCCTGCGGGCTTCTATAGTTGAAGGGTATGCATTTTTACCTACTAGTATTTCACTTTCGTCTCTTGATAATGAATATACAATTATATAAATAGCATGTTTGCAACAATACTGTATATGAAATCAAGAAATGTAATTAGTGAAAAATACCAAAACATGCACTTTCTCTCCTTTAAAGAAACTTTTTTTTGACTGATACAGGACTCGTATAAATTATGCAGTACATTCAGATACATGATTTACACATCACACTGATGATCATGAAGAAATCAGAATGAGCACACTGGTGAAAAATAATGTTTCTATACATGTATGCCAAATTATTACACCAGACCAATATTTTTAGAAACTTTTGATAATGGGAAGTATTTTTGATCTAAATTTTACAGGATAATAGAAGATGGATGATATAGAGGATGTAGAAGTGGATGTGAATCATCCATCAGCAGGAACTATCAGTGCTATAGATAAAAAGTCGGTACACCGGATATGTTCAGGTCAGGTGGTTCTAACTCTGGCTACAGCAGTGAAGGAACTTCTTGAGAACAGTATAGATGCTGGAGCTACTATCATAGGTAACATGAGAACATCTGTATAAATGCTAACATGTATTTCTTTAAACAGCATAAAACTATATTTGACTGTCTGCAATTAAAATATTGTTTGTTTATATTGACAAACAATATAAACCGCAGTATCTTACATGAAAGAATATCTCAATCTTATATATAAGATAAAGCAGAGATCATTACTTAACCTACTAATAGTAATATTCATGATAGAACATTATATTCTGTTTTCTTATATATATACATCTGTAAGTCACATATGATAATAACAGAGACAGGACCATCATTATGAAAACTTATGTGCGTGTATACTAGATGTATGGTATATTTTGAGACTTATTGCTTTATAACCCACAAATATTAAAGAGTGTGTGACACATTTTCGTACAATAATTTGTTTTTAACCTTCACAAATGTGAAACAATGTTCCAGGGAGATTGAGTTTCATAAGTAAGGTGAGTTAAAAATGATTTAGAAAATACAAACAAAATAAAAATGTGTTGTTATGAAACAGACTTTTAGATATGAAAACAATGAATGAATCAAAATTACACATTAAACATTTAAGGACTTGACAATGCTTGTAAGCAGTATTAAATTTAGATAAATATCCATCATCTTCACCAAATATTTTACTTAATGCCATTTAATTTTTGTTCCCAATGTTGATAATAACAATATTTTGTCTGTTTTTCCAGACATTAAGTTGAAAGATTATGGTAGTGAACAGATAGAGGTTAGTGACAACGGAAATGGCGTCCATCAAAATAACTTTGAAGGATTGAGTAAGTTTTATATCATACAACCTGTATTTCTCCCACTTTATGATGAAGGTAAAGGTAATGGTGAATGGTTAAGGTAGATGTCGTTAAACCTTATGGCCCATATCGATGTGGGTTCTAATCTCACCAAGAACTACTTTTTCTCACTAACCAGATAGAAAAATCTATAAATGTTACTAAAAATAGCGGTGTTGGAAAATCTTATCTCACATGGGCCCATCTCACACTCAACGTGCAGCACTTTTAAAAACGTATTCCTACACATATGCGATTCACTCCTATTTTAACAAAAATGGAACATCAAAAGGTCAAAATGTATTAAAAATATGTGGGCTAATCTATTAAATTGTCCATGGAATCAAAATAGATTGATATTAACTTTCACACTGCAATGGTTCCTACTCTACCTAGGTCCGCCCTTTTCAATGTTGATCTGTTACTAAAAATAGCACTTTAAAATATCGCAAAATTCTTCGTAAAATCGGATATTATGACACTTTGCCTTGAAAAGCATCCATGTTTTCTGTTATGATAAGGATGCTTCTTGATGACAAATCTCATTTTGATATATTTTAATTGAATATTCGGCCAAAATAACCGAATAAGTAGAAAAATCTTTGCAAACGGTAAACGCTTTTTGTCAACCATTGCACTGAATTCCTTATAAACACTTATATTATGACACTTTCCGACTTTAATATTGATGTGTTTTATCATGATATACTTGCTTTTTGATGAGGGATGTCATATTAATTTATTTTCATATGAATTTATTTTCATTGAATTTTTCACACATAAACTTGGTCAGAAGAATCTTTTGCGGACATACATACGCCTAAGCCCCACCCCACTTGTCAAAACTAGATACGTTGTAATGCGCGTAGCAAGTAGTTTCACTGATATTTATATTTTGTCTCTTGTGTGTCCAGGTGAGTGAGAAAAATAATCATTCATTGGGTTAGATAGAGGATAGGGAAATCCCAATCCTCGGGCAATAGGTTCCATCGGAAACTTGGGTTTGGATTTCCCTATCCTCTATCTGACCCAATGATAGATTCTATTATTCTATCATACATGTACATGACAGGAAGCTATCCAGCTACTTTATAGAGGGTTGGTGATTGTACTCTGATGGCTAGTGCTTAAAAATGCCCAGATGGAACCAACCAAAAATAAATAAATACAAACACAATATTTAACTTTTATTTAGATATTACTCTTTTTATATGTAGAAGTCACAAATTTTAAGAACAATAAAGAGACAGTTTGTATTGCCAATTGAATGAGATTTATCCTCTATATGATTTTATCTCTTCCTTTATAGCACTAAAACATCACACATCAAAACTTCAAGAATTCTCAGACCTGATCAATGTAGAAACATTTGGTTTTAGAGGGGAAGCTCTCAGCTCACTTTGTGCCCTAAGGTAAAGATCAAAATAACTTTATTGTTTATGTAAAGAGTATTCTAAAATAATATAAATATTCAGGTCTTTTATTCCAACATTTTAATGTCTGTAGTTTTACTTTTGTTGTTACACATTTGTTACAAGTTCAGATCAAGTATGTAAAAAGAGTAATAGGGATTTTAGTTATAAGTTTAACTGTCTTTAGTTGCTGCTATGACATTTCTGCTTACACAAGCCTACACAAGCCTTCATCAGACAACTCGTTATATATAGCTTACATTTGTAGCTTTAAGATCAAGGTCACACTAAGACTTTTAAGGTTTATAGTTTCATAAAAGTACATCAAGTGTATATTTCAGTGATATGTGTGTTAGTACCCGGCACAAAGATGCTGCAGTTGGTACCAAGCTCGAGTTTGATCATAATGGGAAACTGTTGAAGCAGTCCAAACAAGCCAGACAGGTTGGTTACACAAAAACATTTTTTTACACATATGTTATATCAAATTATACACTTACAGTAGAAATAACTTTAACATTTGACCCATTTACATTTTCCAGTAAAATAATAGTATGTAAGGTTTGAATTAAACTGTAAAATTTCATCTTGCAGATACTAAATTTAAAGATATTTGTAAAGTATAAACTCCAAAATGTTTCTTCTAATGTCTGTGATTCAAACTTTTTGTAAGGAAAACTTTCAAGAGCAAAATCAAATTTAAATTTGGTGGAAAAAATGAAGAAAAAAAAGGTTTTTATGAAAGTGTCAACCTTTTATTGTGTATCATGATTGTTACTGTTGTTTTGATAGGTTGGAACTACTGTTACTCTACAAAATCTGTTCTATACTCTACCTGTGAGACATAAAGAATTTCAGAGGAACTTGAAGAAAGAATTTGTAAAGATGGTGCAAGTTTTAAACTCTTACTGTATTATAAGCACAGGTGTTAGAATCACTTGCTCTAACCAGACAGGAAAAGGGTAACATATTGCTGTATTTTATATTCTGTTCTGGAACAGTAGTTCAATGTTTATGATCAGTTAATTCATCAGTAAAGTATACTTACTGTTTTGAGAATTGTGCTTCAACTCTGGCTGAAACATGGAGTCAAATTCAGGAAGAGTATACTATTTCGAAGGCGGTTTATTTAGTGGATTGTAGATCTCACCAGCTGCTTTGCAAGTGGAGCAATAGAATGGAGTTTTGAAGGTCAAATGAACAACCCCTGTCTGTTCTCATGAAATATGAAAAAACACCATAAATAAATATGATAATGTAACAAATGTTATTGAAATTATAATTTCAGTAAGCCTAGATATCTTATTTGTTAAAGAATTATTTTTTCTCTTAATCCACCAGGAGCAGATCAACTGTGGTTTCTTCTAAAGGAAATGCAAATATGCTGGAGAATATCTCGAATGTTTTTGGTCCTAAACAAGTATGTATAACCTTATATAATATACTGTCTTTACATAGGTATTGTTATTTACATATGAAGAATACATTTCATACATTTTCAATAATACAGCAGCAACAACAAATCATGTTATTTTTGGAGTATTGGTGTTTGTATAAATTTCCAATGAAATATTTTTAATTTGCTCATAATTTGTTTAATATGTTGAAAATGTCCAAAAATTACACAATACAACTTTTCCTGTATACATGTAGGTCATTTACATGTACATGTACTTCTTTCTTGTCAATATGTATTGATTTACAGCCACAAAGTTTGTTGGAGTTTAAGAAATATGATCCAAATGAAGATCAGTGTTCAGAGTTTGGAATAAAGAAGGATAATACTTCATTATTCAGGTACCTCCTATATACATATTTATTACATATATTGCATTACACTTAATGGTTAAATGGCTGAAGTGACTAGCTTGTTTGTCTGTAGGTGTTAAAATTGCCAGTTACAGTAAATTGTTACTCTAAGGAAGGTATTCAGCTATCTTATGAAATGTTGGTGGCTCTACCTAGGTAATCACTTGTATATAATTCACAGCACGTTCCTAGGACCCAGAATATATTGTTTTGTGCCCCCACGTTAGTGGCGGGCATTTAGATTTACCCTTGTCCGTCCGTCCGTTCACTTTTGTGTTGCACGTAACTCAAAAAGTATTTGACCTAGAGTCATGAAACTTTACAGGAATGTTGATCAGCATGTGTAGTTGTGCACCTGGGTATTTTCGTCTGGATATTTTTAGTATTTTCAGAGTTATTGCCCTTGACTTAGTAAAATTTTGCAATTTTCAACTTGTGTCGCATGTAACTCAAAAAGTATTTGACCTAGAGTCATGAATCTTTACAGGAATGTTGATCAGCATGTGTTGTTGTGCACCTGGGTATTTTCGTTTGGAAATTTTTAGTATTTTCAGAGTTATTGCCCTTGACTTAGTAAAATTTTGCAATTTCAACTTGTGTCGCATGTAACTCAAAAAGTATTTGACCTAGAGTCATGAATCTTTACAGGAATGTTGATCAGCATGTTTTGTTGTGCACCTGGGTATTTTCGTTTGGAAATTTTTAGTATTTTCAGAGTTATTGCCCTTGACTTAGTAAAATTTTGCAATTTTCAACTTGTGTCGCATGTAACTCAAAAAGTATTTGACCTAGAGTCATGAAACTTTACAAGAATGTTGATCAGCATGTGTTGTTGTGCACCTGGGTATTTTTGTCTGAATATTTTTAGTATTTTTAGAGTTATTGCCCTTGACTTAGTAAAATTTTGCAATTTTCAACTTGTGTCGCATGTAACTCTCAAAAAGTATTTGACCTAGAGTCATGAAACTTTACAGGAATGTTGATCAGCATGTGTAGTTGTGCACCTGGGTATTTTCGTCTGGATATTTTTAGTATTTTCAGAGTTATTGCCCTTGACTTAGTAAAATTTTGCAATTTTCGACATGTGTCGCATGTAACTCAAAAAGTATTTGACCTAGAGTCATGAAACTTCACAGGAATATTGATCATCATGTGCAGTTGTGCACCAGGTATTTTTGTCTGGATTTATTTAGTATTTTTAAATTTTTGCCCTTCACTTAGAAATTTTTAGCAATTTTCAACTTGTGTCGCAAGTTACTCAAAAAGGATTTGACATAGTCATTAAACCTTATGAGCAGGTTGCTCAGCATATTTAGATTTGCACCTAGGGTTTCGCTTGTGGATTTATCCAGTATTTGTAGAGTTATTTCCCTTTACTTAGTAAAAAGATTGACAGAACAGTGGCGCGGTGGGGGCACCCGTGTCCTATGGACACATTTCTAGTTTTAATTAAGTAAGTCACCATATGATGTGTTCATGACCTGTGTTGATGTGAATTAAAACTACCATTCAAGATGACAAAATAATTTACTATACTGGTTGGAGAGATAACTCCGACACTAAATCACATATTTTTTGCAATATTTAAATTATCTCCCAGTATATTTTAAATATTGAACCACCTAAACAAAGTTCAGTTCAAAGACTTTACATTACACCACAAAAACTATGTAAGAAAATGGAATCTGGTACTTCTTTAAGGTCTTGAATGAGGTATACAAAACATGGTCTTTTTACCCCACAACAGTAGATAAAGTCGACACTTAAATTTTTAAGTAAAACATGACTGGAAAATCAGCATCAATAATTTATTTTTTACATCTTATATGGTTTTATCTATTTTTTGTAAATATTTAAACAATTTTTTCAAAAATCTTTCCCAAGTCAGTGGCCTGTGGTCAATACATTTCTAACTACCTTACTGTAATTTAGTAAAAAGAACGTTTTGAAGCAGTTTTTGCCTACAAAAAGTTTAGGTTATTTGAAAAACATTAAAAAGTCTACCAAATTATAACAAATCATCACATTCTGTCCTGTTCCTATACTGTTAGGTGAGCATGTGCTTATTTGTTGAAAAACCAAGCTTAAACAATTATATTTATCAAGTGTCGGGGCTATCTATGCGTCGGAGTTATCTCTCCGACCAGTACAGAATCAATGATTTCATTGGCATGATGTTTGTTTTTACAAAATTAAATCACATAATATCTTTTATTCTATCAGATATGACAATATCATATTTTACATGTTTTACAGTATAGAGGGCTATGTGTCTAAATGTGATCATGGTCAGGGTAGAAGTAGTACAGATAGACAGTTCTTCTTTATTAATGGTAGACCTTTTGATTCAGCAAAGGTAATATTTATATATTTTACATGTGAATGAAAAAACAAGAAATTTATATTGGTTAAAATAGCTTAAAAACACTTAATCTAAATGCATTTATGTTAATGATTGTTCTGACATTTAAAATGATTTTGTAGTATATTATATATGTTATTGTTTTAAGACATAATTGAAAATTAGAAAGTATTTTTCATGTTTAATGACCAGTATAGTAAATTAGTTAACCTCACATGTCAGAAATTTAATTTTTGCTGCTAATATATTGTAAAATAATTTAAATTTTCTGAAAAATATTAGTATATCATGTACTTTATAGACTATATTCTTTATATTCTGTAACAGTTGAGTAAGGTTATAAATGAAGTATACCACCAGTACAATAGACATCAGTATCCATTTGTTGTCTTCAAGATATCAGTACAGAAAGGTAACACTATATTATACCTTAATGTCTATCTAATGTTATTATGTATCTATGAGACATAAGCTCTAACAACCACTTTGTTTTTGTGATCACTCCTCAACCAATTTCTAAAGGATTTTTATTGTTACTTTTGTCATTAGCCTCCCTATACAGAAACAAGACCACTCAGTTATTACCTATTAAGACCAGATTCTCAGTTTTTGCTGAACCTTTTTATATTGTCTGCTAGAATCTCTTTTAACACAATGCCGATTTATGCAAGAAATATTTGTCTTTAGGAAATCTGCATTGTGTTAAAAGAGATTCTAAAATAAGTCATACGAACCAAATAATGGTACAAATATGTTTAATTATTGAAAGTACTTACATTTGTAGATAATGTAGATGTAAACGTTACACCAGATAAAAGACAGGTGTTTCTAGAGGGAGAGAAAGTCATTATGGCTACAGTCAAGGTAAAACTTTTCAGATACTGTCTAAGGTTACTTTCCACAATTTGATTTACAAGTTTGGAAAAATATTATAAGTGCTAAAAATTACTTTTACATGTTAGTTAAAGATAATTAATATACATAGATGTATGTCATGTTCATTTAAATATTTCATCTTTAGGTAAAAATGTTGTTTGTTAAGAATTTGTTGATATTTTATTTTGTAATTGTATATTACAGACTTCTCTAATAACGATGTATGAACCAACAACTTCAATATTACAGTATCAGATGCCAGCAAAACTAACATGTGGTATGTATAGTCAGTTTCTATTTCTTAAGCAACATTGATTGGTGAACAACTACTTGTTAAATCACTCAAACTACAGACATACAGGATATGTTAAACATTTCCCTGCTGAAACCAAAATTGATTAGCCTTAGCCGCCAGTATAGAGCCACATCAGCCTCCATATCCATGCAGTGTAAGCAAGCTGTGTACCCACTACTATTGGCTGACTTTCTTTAGATTTTTATTTTGATATCACCAAAAAAGTGAGTAACAACTGTTGTGCATCAAGCCAATGATTCAGAGCAGCAATATTTCTATTGTGTATTTCTTTGTCTCAAACTTTTAAACTTTTTAGTTAGACTATTAGCAGAATAGGGAGAGCTATTGTACTCAACCAGATGTCTGCATCACACTTTGGTCAAGTTTTTGTGTTTGCAAGTTGGTATCTTCAAAACTACGGAAAAGAATGGGTTGAAACCCCAAATACTTATTTGACAGCATAATAGGCCACTAACTAAGGTATATAACTCTAATGTGGATTTTGACAGAATTATGGCCATTTTAGAACTTAGAAAATTATATATTATCTAGGCTAAGCACTAAAATTTTTGAGCATGCTGTCCTACCGACAGTTCTTGTTAATTTACAAATTTTACATGCGGAAGAGTTAAAGGTGTAGGTATAGTTTGATACCCAATTGACATTATGCCAGAGAAGGGATTGCTCCGCCCAATTATTCACGTGACCCAGTCATTCAAAACCTTAGACAAAAGACCCTACTGACATTTACACGAAACTGTCATGCCACTTAAGTGACTAATGAATTTACCTTATATAATTGGTATATATAAATTTTAATGCTTTTATTTAATAGTTCAATGTTTTATGATATTTAAAAAGTAACAAATAACTGCATTTACGCATTAATGATGAATAAAACTTTTGGCAAAGATCTTGTTATATTTCTCGCTGACTTCAAGGAAGATGTTACTGAGCTGACTTCAAGGAAGATGTTACTGACAAAATATCATTTTAGTTCACAAATTCAAAGATAGTTAAAATTGATGTAGCGGAACATATAATAGTAAAATTATTATCATTTCATTTATTGGCAAATCAGCATTATAAATGCCTTTGACCATTTACATACTAAATATGGCCAAGACATACAGTTTACAAGAAAGTTACACAAAAACTACACATTTAATCTTTAAATGATAAAATATCAAACATTAAGAAATTTTTAACTCACAAATGAAATAAATCCTACGAGTCAATGAAACAGTAACATTTGCAAATGTTTTTGGGGTTTTATATGCGAAATCACTTATAATGTAATGCATTTGTGCATAAATTGTCAAAATTAAATGAGAAAATTGCCCTTGCATAACTTTGTTGTATGATATATGATTATATGTATATTTGTACATTAGATATTTTCGTGATAAAACGCAATATTATTCACTTCAAAATAAGTTTCGCATATACCAGACCTCGACTTTAAATTAAAACCTTTATCAGATATGATGTTATTGAAGCATGAAATGTATTTTAATATTTTATCTAAATTCATTGAGCTTTAATAGTAATATTAAGGTAGGATAATTTCACCTAAAATATTTATTGCATATTTTCTCATTTTATTTCCAAGTACGGTACTTTTTTCTACTGCAGCATTTTATTGACACTATGTTGTAACAAACAAAAAAAATGTCATATCATCTGGATATTCTGGGACCTTATACTATATTATGTGATTATGAATAGACATAATTGTAATAAAGGAAGGAATAGAGTATTTGTTTAAACTTTTTCCTTGTTTGATGCAATGTGGTATAGCCAGTTTTAACTTTCATACCTGCTATATAACTTATTATCTTCATATCCTATAGAAAGTTACTGATATTTTTGTTTTTCTAAAATGAACTATCTGACTCCATCTGTCAATATGTCAGGATATTTTGTAACTCAGATATACTGCTTTAATAGCTTTAAATTGACAAAAAAAGATCAAAATAATTTCAATATAAATACTGCTGCACCATTGTCTTATACAAATAGCTTGTCTAAGGAAAATGGCGGACTTCTCAGACATCTTAGCATGAAACTGATAACGATCGTTGATTGGCTTATCTGTAAGACCCCTGCCAGCTTGATTGACAGGCGGTGTAATGTCAATTATTATTTCAGGTAAAGCTGCTCAGCCAACTACAGCCTCTAATTTTACAAGGTAAGATATCATAACATTTTCATTTTAACATGATACCTCAGACTTATTATAAGTGTTATGTTCCTGATGATACTTAACCTTTAACCTGCTGATTATGTGCAATGCATTTGCCCAGATTTGAATTTGGAACAGTCCAAACAGTTCAATGGAATTTTCAATATACAAAAATTGAGCTGCCAAAAAATTTTGAGCCTGGTCAGACTGCACAGATTGGCAGGCTGGTTGCAAAGGCAAATCACTTTTGATTCCAGCAGGTTAATAAATAGACAATTACAATTATTTTAAGATTTTATGTAATTAATCTTTAACTTAATATCATCTTTCATGTTACTCACTTAGTATTACATATTCATATCAAATACATGTACATTGATTCTAATGCATCAGATGAAATAGATATTATAAAATGAGCCGCGTCACGACAAAACTAACATAATGGTTTTGGGACCAGCATGGATCCAGACCAGCCTGCGCATCTGCGCAGTCTGATCAGGATCCATGCTGTTTTCTATCAGTTTCTCTACTTGTTATACGGTTTGTAAGCGAACAGCATGGATCCTGATCAGACTGCTTGGATGCGCAGGCTGGTCTGGATCCATGCTGGTCGCAAAAGCATTACATTGGTTTTGTCATGGCGCAGCTCAAGTACACTTTGATAATACTATTTCCCAACTTTGATAGTGTTAAATCTGTGTAGCAAATGGAAATAAAAGAATTTGTTGTAAATTACATTTCAGATTGTCGAAGCATGCAAGCTTAGAAAAGGTAACTGTTGTATATCATTATAATTATGTAAAAGTTATCTTTGTAGGCAATCCTCAAGTTTAATATTGACCAAATAAATGTACGGATTTAAATATTTTTATATTGAGAAGAATTCAGAGATAAACATAATGCATGTACAAACAATATATAAAAGAAGTTAAAATGAAACTATAAATACATGTATGTTGTATTTGGTAACATTTTGTTCATTTTCCTTTTACATTTTTAGCCAACAGGTCTGACATCACTAATGAAATTGAAGCGATCATTTAGTAGTGCATTCTCTAAAGATAATACAGATGTTGATACAAAGAAAACTTCACCAACCAAATCTGGTTCCCAGGTGAAACGTAAGTTTCTTTATAAATCTTTACTATTTTGTTGAGAAAAATATTAATAGTAATCCCTTATTGGCCGGGTTGCACTGGTGCAAACCCGGGTTATAGTATGGTGAATGTTGAGCGACAGGCAGGCAGGCGGGCTTGGAAAAACTTTTCGTAACAGTTTTCTCAGCTACTACTTATCACAGCCTCTTGATATTTTGCATACAGCATTGATACATGGTCCCATACCGTGGGATTCGATTTCAGGTCTGTTGCTTATCCACTTCCTGTTTACCGATTTAGTTAAATTTACGCCATTAATGGTCAGTGGTAGGAAATTTTAATAACAGTTTTCTTAGCAACTACTTATTACAGCCTCTTGATATTTGGCATACAGCATTGATATGTAGTCCTATACCATAGGGTTTGATTTCAGGTCTGTTGCTTATCCACTTCCTGTTTACCGCCTTAGTTAAATTTTCAACATTAATGGTCAATGGTAGGAAATTTTCGTAACACTTTTCTCAGCAACTAATTATCACAACCTTTTGATATTTGGCATGCAGCATTGATACGTGGTCCCATACTGTGGGATTGGATTTCAGGTCTGTTGCTTATCCACTTCCTGTTTACCGCCTTAGTTAAATTTTCAACATTAATGGTCAATGGTAGGAAATTTTCGTAACACTTTTCTCAGCAACTAATTATCACAGCCTCTTGATATTTGGCATACAGCATTGATACGTGGTCCCATACCGTGGGATTTGATTTCAGGTCTGTTGCTTATCCACTTCCTGTTTACCGCCTTAGTTAAATTTTCAACATTAATGGTCAATGGTAGGAAATTTTCGTAACACTTTTCTCAGCAACTAATTATTACAGCCTCTTGATATTTGGTATGCAGCATTGATACATGGTCCCATACTGTGGGATTGGATTTCAGGTCTGTTGCTTATCCACTTCCTGTTTACCGATTAGTTAAATTTTGGACATCAATGGTAGGAAATTTTCGTAACAGTTTTCTCAGCAACTACTTATCACAGCCTCTTGATATTTGGCATACAGCATTGATAAGTGGTCCCATACTGTGGGATTTGATTTCAGGTCTGTTGCTTATTCACTTCCTGTTTACCGACTTAGTTAAATTTTGGACATTAATGGTCAATGGTAGGAAATTTTCGTAACAGTTTTCTCAGCAACTACTTATCACAGTCTCTTGATATTTGGCATACAGCATTTACATGTGGTCCCATATTGTGGGATCCGAATTCAGGTCTATTGCTCATCCACATCCTGTTTACCGACTTTGTTTAATTTTTAGCTCGACTATTCGATAAGAATAAGTAGAGCTATTGCAGTCACCCGAGCGTCGGCGTCGGCGTAACCACTTATGTTAAAGTTTTTGTAATAGTTCAAATATTTTCAAAGTCCATAGACATATGGCTTTGAAACTTTGCACACTTGTTCACCATCATGACCCCAACCTGTAGACAGGAGGAGGTAACTCTATCAAGCATTTTGACAGAATTATGCCCCTTTATCGACTTAGAATTTACGTTAAAGTTTTTGTAATAGTTCAAATATTTTCAAAGTCCATTGACATATGGCTTTGAAACTTTGCACACTTGTTCAACATCATGACCCCAACCTGTAAACAGGAGGAGGTAACTCTATCAAGCATTTTGACAGAATTATGCCCCTTTTTTCGACTTAGAATTTACGTTAAAGTTTTTGTAATAGTTCAAATATTTTCAAAGTCCATTGACATATGGCTTTGAAACTTTGCACACTTGTTCACCATCATGACCCCAACCTGTAAACAGGAGGAGGTAACTCTATTAAGCATTTTGACAGAATTATGCCCCTTTTTCGACTTAGAATTTACGTTAAAGTTTTTGTAATAGTTCAAATATTTTCAAAGTCCATTGACATATGGCTTTGAAACTTTGCACACTTGTTCACCATCATGACCCCAACCTGTAAACAGGAGGAGGTAACTCTATCAAGCATTTTGACAGAATTATGCCCCTTTATTCGACTTAGAATTTAAGTTAAAGTTTTTGTAATAGTTCAAATATTTTCAAAGTCCATTGACATATGGCTTTGAAACTTTGCACACTTGTTCACCATCATGACCCCAACCTGTAAACAGGAGGAGGTAACTCTATTAAGCATTTTGACAGAATTATGCCCCTTTTTCGACTTAGAATTTACGTTAAAGTTTTTGTAATAGTTCAAATATTTTCAAAGTCCATTGACATATGGCTTTGAAACTTTGCACACTTGTTCACCATCATGACCCCAACCTGTAAACAGGAGGAGGTAACTCTATCAAGCATTTTGACAGAATTATGCCCCTTTATTCGACTTAGAATTTACGTTAAAGTTTTTGTAATAGTTCAAATATTTTCAAAGTCCATTGACATATGGCTTTGAAACTTTGCACACTTGTTCACCATCATGACCCCAACCTGGAAACAGGTGGAGGTAACTCTATCAAGCATTTTGACAGAATTATGCCCCTTTTTCGACTTAGAATTTACGTTAAAGTTTTTGTAATAGTTCAAATATTTTCAAAGTCCATTGACATATGGCTTTGAAACTTTGCACACTTGTTCACCATCATGACCCCAACCTGTAAACAGGAGGAGGTAACTCTATCAAGCATTTTTTTTACTATCAAGCACAAAGAATAGTCGAGCGTTGCTGTCCTACCGACAGCTCTTGTTTACATTGATGATCAGTGGCAAATTTTTTTCGTAACATCACAGCATCATGATATTTGGTATACAAATGCAACCCGGCCTTTTCTGTCTTTGCCCCATTTTTTGAAAAATAAAAGAAAGAAATGTAGCCAGTACTTAAAATTGCATTTGACTTTGAATATGTTTTTTTTTTCACAGCTAGAAAGTAAATTATACAATTTTAATTCCCCAAGTACATAGTCATAGTCAATAATTATTTGATCAGTCTGTCACATAGTGAGATTTTTGTAATTCAGTAAAATGATGAATGAAGTTTGCTATGAATCAAATACATGTACATGTAGATGTTTTAAGTGTATTAATAACCTTTTAATTTCAGAGAGAAGATTAGATTCTTTTGTTTCATCCTATCAGAGTCCGGTAAAAACATCCAATGATGGTTCAAATGATAGTAATAAAGAAATTAAAGATTCTGATAATGATGTTATTATAATTAATGATCTTAAAGAGCAAAATGACACTGTCAAGGATTCTGTAATTATAGTAGAACATAGAAGTTCCAGTAACACTGTGAATAAATTTGAAGATACTAGTGTATGTAAACAAGATATGATTTGGGATGAGCCTGGAAAACAAATAGATGAAACTGGGGATAATAATAATACAGGGAATGATGTTAAAAACAAAGAATGTAAAAATAGTGGTACGTTTAAAAATGAACTTAGTTTGATAGTAAATGATAACATGAAAATAGACAATGAGTCAACAAAGCTTGAAGCATCAGTTATTTCCTCTAGACTTGGTATAGCACATGTTGATAGAGAAAATTGTGTTCATAAACCCACCAAATGTGTTCAAAATACAACTTCTAATGTGTGTTCTAGTACAGAATGTGTTCATGATGATATGCAATGTGTTCAAAATAATACCACATGTGTTCAAAAAGAAGTAAACAAGGATGGTGAATTAATGACTGATAGTGAAAGAACTGTATCTGAAGCAGCATCAGACAAAGGAGATCTGAATGTGCAGGAGAACAAGGTAGATAAAAGATCTGATGTAAAGATAGTGCAGCATCAAGATGATTTAAGATGTAAGGAGAATGAATCTGATGTAGGAATTGGTGTAGCAATCATTCCACATGAAACTGGGCAGACTCTGGGAGAAAATGATGAGGTAGTGGATGTCACTGGTGAAATACATCTTGTAAGATTTCTCTAAATTTTGCCTTTGTATTTCTTTTTCTTATTTCCTGATTTCATAATAAGATATTGTCTGCAGTAGAAAACTTAATTTATTTCAACTTTTGGAGAATTTCACAATTTGTTCTTTACTCAATGAGGAATCATGTTTCTGAGGTCTTCAGTAAAACATTGTGGATGTTTCTAAATTCCAATTTTCACCATGTTAAATTCTGTTTAAGACTGTGCTTTGGGGCGAGGATGGTTACTTGCTTTTTCCAGTATTGTCCAATCACTGGTTCAATCAAACTGAGCCAGCAACATTTTCAATTTTGCCATTCTGGGTGTTCTTTAGGGATTCTGTTATTTCTATTTTGTTGTTTAAGAAGATATTTTTGAAATGGAAGGCATTCTTGAAAATATTTCATCATTGTTAAAATGTAATAGTATTATATATGTCACTTGTAGTATTATATTTTATGTTATTTATTAGATAACAGTATCTGTTATTTACATTGATTGTGTAATTCTATATTATAGGATATGGAGGAAGATGTAGATAGGAAGGAAAGTTGTATAAGTTTCTCTATGGATATTTTGAAAAACAGATGGCAGTCCAGAGGTACCATGTTGAACAAAACTATTCTTTATGATTTAACACATAAAATGCTTATGATGTCTTACTTTCAATGATTTTTGTTTGCATCATTGTGAAAATATTTAATTAACCTTTAAAGAAATGGGATAGGATATGTATGAAGAAAGATTTTGGTTACTTAAGTCATATTTTCATCTTAGTTTTGATTTATTTATTGATTTTAACATGGATTGTTAGCAAATGTGTGCATTTAATGAAAATCACTTGTTATATCAAATGTAAGTATTACTTGAACCTACAAGTTTAAAAGCAGTCACCTTACCATTAGTTCACCATTACCTTTTATTAAGTTTTTATATTAAATTAACCCTTTTTTTGACATGAAATTAAATTTTGTTTTGTTTTATTTATTATCAATATTAATTCATGTAGAAGTATTAACAACAATGTTTTATTTTATCATAACAGACAAGGTTGATGAGAGCAGTAAATTTAGCCGAGCATTTCGTGCCACTATAAACCCGGCAGAGAATCTGGCTGCTGAGCAGGAGTTACAAAGAGAAATCAAGTAAGATAGAATAAAATTGAAACTGTTACGTTAATTTATCAAAGATTAAAATCAAAAATGCAGGTGTTATAATAAAGAATCAAAGATACAAACCAAACATGCAGGTGTTGTAATGAAACTTTTATGAAGTGAGATTCCGACATTATAGGTCTGAAATGAATAAGGAATAAAGTTTGATATAGAAAATGTTTCCATAAAGAAATTCAACTTACTAATCTGAACTTGATAATTACCTGATTTATTATTAAAATGATTACTATTTTAAAATTTAAGAGTATCTGACATAAATTGCTTCTTAAATGGAAAATATATGTTAGTACTGAAAAGTTTACAATAAAAAAAATTATTTTGCATTTTCACAGGAAGGATATGTTTTCCAAGATGGAGATATTAGGACAGTTTAATAAAGGATTTATCATCACACGGCTGGAGAAGGACTTGTTTATTGTAGATCAACATGCCACTGACGAGAAATTTAATTTTGAGACTTTACAACGAGACACCGTCATACAGAGTCAAAAACTTATTGCGTAATATATTTTCACTAAAAATCTAGAAGAAGGGTGATCCCTCGGAAGCATTAATTACAACAAATTTACATGAAAATTGCAGATTTGATTTTCTGTTTGATACAATATTAACTTGCCAAGTATTAAATATGGACATTTTTCATTGTAATGCGTCCGTGGCCGAGTGGTTAAGGTCGTTGACTTCAAATCACTTGCCCCTCACCGCTGTGGGTTCGAATCCCGAAAGGGACTTTGGATTCTTTCATGTGAGGAAGCTATCCAGCTAGCTTACGGAACGTCGGTGGTTCTACTCAGGTGCCCGTTCGTGCCTGAAATATGCACGGAAGGGCACCTGAGGTCTTCCTCCACCAGTAAAGCTGGAAAGTCGCGATATGACCTATACTGTGTCGATGTGACGTAAAACCTAAAAAAAAAAAAAAAATCCATATCAGAAAGATGGCAAAGAGCATTCATCTGGGTAGTATTTAATAAGAGTGCACTGTTTTATACTGGTGGCTTCATCATGTCAATATGGTCATTAGCATAAATGAGCCGCGTCATGACAAAACCAACATAATGGATCCTGATCAGACTGCGCGGATGCGCAGGCTGGTCTGGATCCATGCTGGTCGCAAACCCATTATGTTGGTTTTGTCCTGACGCGGCTGAAATATAGTAATTGATCAAGTGTTTGATATTTCATTATTTGTTTAATCAGGAGAATAGGTCTAAATCTGGTAAAAAATTTAAAGACATATATATGTTTCTATTTCTTGCTATAACATAACTTGAATATATTTAAGAACAGGCACTAGTCTCAAACCAAAGAATATCTCCTTTAGGCTTTCATTACATTGGCGATCTGAAATTCTGAAGAAGTATGTCAATATTATTTGTCCTGCTTATCAAAGAGTTGTGTTTCAAAGACTAATTATACGATAGTGTTGGAACGTATTAAAGCAGTTCATTGAAGCAAAATTCATTTATCATTAAATAACCCTGATAAAGTGTAATTGTTATGAATATGTCCTATGTTAAATTTTTACCTGCCCTTTTAAACTTTAAAGGTTAATGTTAAAATACTAAACTGCAACCCAGAATAAACCGATAATCTAATTATAATCAGCATGATAGGTAGGGGGTCACTGACTTTGATCAATTCTCCTATTTATCTTATTAATTTTGTATTTTAATGAAACTTGGATGTAATGAAAGAAAATAAAATTATGCTTAAAATGTTTTGAATTAATAAAACAAAGTACCTGTTAAACAGTAGTGAGTATGATGATACTGTATGATAGTGATGCTGGCCTGGCTCTATCCTGGTGGTACTAGCAAGTTATTACCTCTTACACATAGAAGAAGATTTTCATTTATCAAATAAGAGGATTTTCATTCATCGAATTCTCCGGCTAAAAGATTTTACCTGTAATATTGCTATATATTTTCAGCCCTTTGAACCTTGAGTTGACCTCTAGTAATGAGACGATTCTGATGGACAACATTGACATATTCAGAAAAAATGGATTTGAATTTATCATTGATGAAGAAGGTAAAACAATTGTTACAAAAGTCATAAACACCAAACAAAAAAGCAACATCAAAATCTTTGGAATACCAAATGTGTTGTCTTGACAAACAAATAGTTACTTTTTAGCTCGACTTTTCTATGAAAAGGGGAGCTATCCTACTCACCCCGGCGTCGGCGTCGGCGTCACACCTTGGTTAAGTTTTTCGTACCACCCCACTTTATTTCAGAAGTATTACAAGTATGGCTTTGAAACTTACCATACTTGTTCACCATCATAACCTCCATCTACAGACAAGAGTACATAACTCTGTCAAGGTTTTTGACAGAATTATGGCCCTTTTTTGACTTAGAAAGTGTATTGAGCTTGGTTAAGTTTTTTGTACCACCTCACTTTATTTCAAAACCATTGGAGGTATTGCTTTGAAACTGACCATACTTGTTTACCATCACGACCTTCATCAACAGACAAGAGGACATAACTCTGTCAAGGTTTTTGACAGAATTATGCCCTTTTTGACTTAGAAAATACATTGAATATGGGTAAAATCCACTTATTGCCTTAACCCTTTGAGATATTGCTTTGAAACTTTTAATGCTATTTCACATCATTACCCCCCATCTGTACGCAAGAGAAGGTAACTCTGTCAAGGATTTGTTTTTAAAAATTAAGGCCTTTTATCGACTTAGAATCTTGGTTAAGTTTTTAGTACCAGTCCACTTTTTAGCTCGACTTTTCTATGAAAAGGGGAGCTATTCCTACTCGCCCCGGCATTAAATAATGAATTGAACTTCCCTTCATGTTAATTCAAATATCAGTTTACAACGCATTATCTACATAGTGGACCCACAAAAAGTAACCAGTCACCCACAGCCTGTGTGAAAGAGATCCACTTGTGACCAACTGACAACATCTAAAAAAGCTTGATAAAATTTATCTATTACTTGTATTATAAGGTAACTATAATACTTTCACATACAAAGTCAAATCTATATATTATGCTGATTGTACAAAAAAATATACTGCTTCCTTGGCATAGATTTCTTGAAAAATTATGTTATTATGTCATTTACCCAAGGTGTTCTGAGTGACGTAAAAAATACCTTATTCTCTCAAAGTGGGTTTAATACTATTAAATTTATTTAAGGCTCAACTCAGTTTTTTTTTTCTTCTTACCAGCCCTCTTTTGACTTAAACATTTTCAAACTTTGCTGCAGTGTTCAAGGGTATCACACAAATTCAGTAAAAATAATTCTTCACTAAATATCTTAATGCTCATGGCCATTGTTCACTTTAAAAATACAGAGATTCTTGTATTGCCTTTTACTGCAAAAACTTTTTTTATTGGCAAGCAATAAAAAAGTCGAGCGCGCTGTCTTACGGACAGCTCTTGTTAGTTCACCTGTCACAAAGTGACATGGTGAGCTCTAGTGATCGCTTTTCGTCCAGTTGTCCATCCTTCCATAAACTTACTTTAAATGACATCTCCTCATTAACAGCTAAGCCAGTTTCATCCAAACCTCACAGGAATGTTTCTTTGGTGGTCAACTTTAAAAATTGTTCAAAGAATTAAATTCCATGCAGAACTCTGGTTGCCATGGCCTGAAAGAAAAAAAACTTGAAAAATCTTCTTTTAAAAATCCAAAAGAGCTAGAGTTTAGATATTTGGCTTAAAACATCGTCTAGTCAGTGGCTATCTAGTTTGTTCAAATAAAAGCCCTGGGTCAAAATTGGCCCCGCCCTTGGGGGTGGGGCGTCTTTGATATTCCTTATATGGTGTTTAAATATTTATCTTGAAATTAAATGAAAAAAGTATGCAGCACTGCTATGAATTTGTAAATAGAAAATAGTAATAAGTAATAGTAATAATGTATTAGAAGTAAAAAATATCACATGTGTGTACACAAATGTATTTATTGTATGTATGTACGTATGTAAGTTTGTACTGACATGTTAGACAATTGTTTATACAAATAATACCAAAAAAAAGAAGATGCAAAATAATGTTTTATACTTAGTTTATATTTTATATCAATCTTAATAAACATTTAAGATTCAATTATGAATAAAAACAGATATTTTAAAACAGTCACATTTTTAGGAACGAGTCTCATACATATTCTTTTGTATTAGATATTTTGAAATGTGAGGGAAGTAATTACAAATCAAAAGCATTTAAATCTTGTAAGAGTCATGTATCCTGTTTCTTGCAAACATATATTTTGTTTACTTTATTGACAGATTTAATGTTGACTAATGCCAATATTAATTCATAAGTGTATATACCAAAATGTGACTGAGCTAAGATGGCTTTGTCAATTGTGTATTGTGTGATTTATAAAAGAATAAAGCTTCTTCTTTTTCTTCTTCTTCTTCTTCATATATCATATGCATATAGTAAAAACTTTAAAAATCTTCTTTTAAAAATCCCAAAGAGCTAGAGCTAAGATATTTAGCAGAAACACCTTCTAATAGGTGACTATCAAGTTTGTTTAAATAAAAGCCCTGGGGTCAAAATTGGCCCCACCCGGGGGGGGGGGGGGGTCATTGATTTTGCTAATGTATATATAGTTAAAAACTTTTAAAAAAAAATTCTTTTAAAAAAACCAAAATAGCTAGAGCTTAGATATTAAGCATGAAACATCGTGTAGTAAGTGTCTACCAAGTTTGTTCAAATAAAAGCCCTGGGGTCAAAATTGGCCCCACCCCATGGGGTCATTGATTTTTCTTACATGTATATTGTAAAAACTTAAAATATCTTCTTTTAAAAAACTCAAATAGCTAAAGCTTAGATATTAAGCAGGAAACATCTTCTAGTAAGTGATTACCAAGTTTGTTCAAATAAAAGCCCTTGGGTCAAAACTGGCCCGCCCCAGGGGGTCATTGATATTCATTATATGTTTATAATAAAAACAAAAAAAATCATCTTTTAAAAAACAATAAGACCTAGATCTTAGATATTTAGCATAAAACATCTCCTTGTGAGTGTCTACCAAGATTGTTCAAATTAAAGCCTTAGGTTCAACATTGGCCCTTTCCCTAAGTGTCATTAATTTTGCTTAGATGTATAAAGTGAAAACTTAAAAAAATCTTCATTTAAAAGAACACAAAGAGCTAGAGCTTAGATATTAAGCATGAAACATCTTGTACTTGTGGCTACCAAGTTCCTCCAAATAAAAGCTCTAGGGTCAAAATTGGCCCCACCCAGGGTTGTCATTGATTTTCTTTATCTTTTGGAACTGTTGTTTTCCCTTAGCAATAGCAACCAGTAATGTTTTTACACATGCTGTAAGTCAGATACAAATATGAACTGCTTTTGTTTATATTTTACAATATTACTTGTTCCTTGTCATGAAGAGCTTTTATATACAGGTGAGCGATTTCAGGGCCATCATGGCCCTTTTGTTTACATTTGTTATGTCATACTGTAGAGTTTTCAAAGCATCCCCATAATCTTTTTCAACCAACATTACTTTTTCTTGTCTCAGGGCCACCCACACAGAGAGTGAAATTAATGTCCACTCCAGTAAGTAAAAACTGGAACTTTGGAAAAGAAGGTAAGATATATTAGTATGTGTGATGTTCATCACTATAAAGAAATTAGTCAAATTTAATTTTTGTAGAGAAAAATCTTATAAATGTGTTACTAAAGGCACACTGGAGAGCCTTAAGATTTTAAATTGTATTATTTTTTTAGAATTATCTAATATTTAAAGATTTATTTCATATTTACATAAGCTCTAAAACGTTATTTTTTCATAGTTGTACATCATGACTGTTTCAGATATAGAGGAAATGATATTCATGCTGACAGATTCTCCTGTAAGTTAACTTGGCCTCTTTCTAAAATTTGATTCACTACAGATTAAATATTAGACATATATTATACAGCTTGCTACAGAACTAATTTATCCACTTACATGTAATACTTGTTTTGAATTGATAATGATGGGGAGCACATTTGAAATAAGGAAACATTTATTTCCCCTTATGTTATCCCTGCTATCTGTGTGCAATTTCAATTATAAAATACATGTATAATTTTATGTCTCTTGTATCATGCATCTATTTCATTGTTTTGGTGTAAAATGTTCATGTACAATTTCACAAACAAAGCTATAACACCCTCTTTATAATTCATATTGTTAAGAGCATTTTATTTTCTTGTTTGGAAATAGATAGGCATTGTGAACTGTCTTCAAGTTATTAAATGTTTCTTTCTTGATAATTTTATATAATATTTAGGGGGTTACATGTAGACCATCAAGGGTACGTGCCATGTTTGCTTCTCGAGCATGTAGGAAGTCTATCATGATCGGAACAAGATTGAACAAAGCTGAGATGAAAAAGGTATTTTAATTTGTTAGTTTGCTTCACTGGTTGTAAAGATAACTCTGACACAGATATTTTGTAATAAATTATAGATATCTTTCTGTTTATTTAATATTTGATCCATCTAAACAAAGTATGATTCAAAGATTTTATGATGCACTACAAAAATTATTTATGGAAATTAAAACATGTACTTCTTTAAGGTCCTCAACATGGTATCCAAAATATAGTCTTACTACCCAACAACAGTAAATTAAGCAAATATAAGACATTAAGACAAGTCTCCGAGCACTTTATAAGAATACACAAAGTTATACTAATGCACTTTTGTTTTTTTCAACATAATATTTTTTTTTATTGTGGGGCATCTATGGTTTATTTCTAGTTTCTTTAATGTTTAAGCATATTTGTTTCAGCTTGTGTGTCACATGGGTGAAATAGAACAGCCATGGGTGAGTATTTATACCTATATTTATTTTTATTAACAAGAAATCCCTTTATATGCTTTCTTTTATATTTATTTGATTGAAGTACTATTTGCTCAAAATAAAACGTAGTTTATCTTTTCTTTTTTAAAGTACATGTATTAATTTAATTCTATTGTTTGAAAGATAAAATGATGATGTGTTCTAGATAAAGTTGACAATTAACTTATGAAACTTCTTTGGAAAAAAAAAATGTCCTTAAATTTTTTTTGCCCCATTTAAGATCAAATACAGAAATAGTTTTGCAAGTTAGTTCTATAAATCTATTGTTTATAACCAAAATATAGCCTCCAATAGTATTTCTCCGGAAGATGTTAGCTATAATCTTTGGGTTGCCATGGTTGATATTAGAAAAATTTACTTACATTTTAAAGCAGTATGACATTTTATATGAAAATGGATCAATCTATACAAAATTGTTCTGTAGTAAGTTTTGATTGTTTTTGCTAACTGTAACAGTTATTAAAGTTAATTTGTTAATGCCCATCGTAGTTTAATCAAATGAAATGAATATCATTAGCCCAGTTTTTGTGTCTGTCTGCGAGTTTTATCACAAAAACTTGCTACCATGTACATACAGGTGTTTACTATCAGTAGAATACATGGAGCATTGATATAACTAATTCTTTAAGTATTGATAAACCATACAAAATTACTTTACAGGGGTAATAAGTCAACTTGACATTTGGTTTGTCGGTCTGATTTAAGGTTTTCCCCCATTATAATGTCTGAAAGATGTGACCAGATTTAAACATTATTTGGTATACAGTTGAAATATAGGTCAAGTTTTGACTTTAACCACTGATATTTGACAGCAGAAATGATTAATTGGACCTCTTCTGATTTGCTCAAATAAAGTTGGTCAATCTTACATGGAAGCAATTTTTCTCAAGTATGATTTTTTAAAAAATATTTTTGGCTCATCTAGAGGCATGCAGCTTGAAAATAGAAATCTCTAAATGATTTCCTATAAACCTTAGTATAAAGTACATTGTCATAAACTATATCTGTAGCAAATTTAGATGGTTAAGGAGTGACTATATTTAAAATTATAAAATGATACTTTAAATCATTTCCTCATGAGCCAATGATAAGATCTCCACCAAAGTTGGTACATATAATTAGGTTGTAGCAATATATAAAGATCATCTATCAAATCTTGTTAAACAAACAATGTTTGCCTTCACTTCTAGGGGAGTCTGTAGCAAATGAAATACTTGAAATTACTTTCAAGATAACTGTATTATCATAAGATGGTTGGTCAAATAGTGTTGGTCACTTTAAGGGGCTACTATAGTTAAAAGTATAACATCTCTATATGACTCCAGATAAGAAGATTCATGTAGGTGGATTATTATCAAACTTGGTTTAGCATCCTTAGATTGTATTGCTTAAAGATAACTTTGGCCAGCATGTATTAGGAGTCACTGAAAGAAAAAAAAACTTCAAAAACACAAAACTTGATTGACAGCTAACTTAAATGATCTTCTATTAAGTTTGCTAAAGTAAAGCTGACCTCTTTAAATTGGCCACTTGAACTTAAAAATAGATAACTTGAATAACATGTTGTAATGAACGTCACAGAAGTTGTGGGTGGTCCTCTTATTAAGTTTACATAAATAAATACATTGTATTCCGAGAAATGGAAGATTCAAAGACGATGGGAAAAAAACAACCTTTTAACCCTTTTCTTCATGAGCATATTGTGAAAAATGGCCGTTTTCATTGAAAAGGCTCCTGTTACAAGTTCAAACTGCTATGAAACTATGAAAAATGCTTCAATACTGATGAAACTTGGCACAAATGTTGAATGGAACATAACCTCTGTATACAGCATGCTCCATCTTAAATTTCCTGTAACATTGGCAAGGGGGGGGACGTCTCAAAATTGCCAAAAAATGACTATTTTGCATTGTTTTTTCCATCAAAACTGATTTCAAAGTGCTGCAACTTCTCAATGAATTGAGATAGAGTAAATAGCTTTTCAGGGTTGGTTACACGTTATTTTACAATCTACCTGAGGCCATTTTTAGCATGTCACATGTCCAAAACTTTCTTGGTGATGAGGGGGGCTGTTGCCCCCCTTCAAACCCCCGAAACAAAAGGGGTCACATCCCCTTTCTGGCAACCCCCTGATGTACCTTTTTGATGGGTGATGGCCTCAAAAAATGGTCACTTTTTTATCAACATTTCTCAAACGAAAAACGTGTTTGGGGCCTAAATAGGGCATTTTTTCACTGTTTGAGGTAAAGGGTTGAATGATTTCTACTTATTGTCCAGTAAATGGACTTGAACCAAATTTGGTTTGTCGTCTCCTCAGATGGTTTCTTCCAGATTTGCTTAATAAAGGTGGGTGGTCATTAAAAAGGGGTTATTGGAATAAAAAATATGACTATTAATTAAACTTCATCTTATGAAACAATAGACTGATTTTCACCAAGATGCTGAATCTGCTGTACTGGTTACCTATTGAAGAAATTTGAGCCGCATCACGACAAAACCAACATGATGGGTTTACGACCAGCATGGATCAAGACCAGCCTGCGCATCTGCGCAGTCTGATCAGGATCCATGCTGTTCGCTTACAAACCCTATAGCAAGTAGAGAAACTGAGAGTGAACAGCATGGATCCTGATCAGACTGCGCAGATGCAAATTGTAGCATTTGTAGATTGACTTAATTAAAGATTATCCAATTTTGGTTGTTTTGTTTTAGGCATTGCCAGTATTAAAAGTTGAAAATCTTACATTTTCTTGTCAAACTATGGACATGGTGCAAAGTTTTCTGTGATTATGGAAGTTAAAAATGAAAAAAAAAATATTGTCAACATTATCAATTTAATGAGGGATGCATGCAATTTTTGAGCCACATTATTTGTTTTCATTCCAGAATTGCCCACATGGACGCCCAACTATGAGACACTTGATCAATTTAGATATGGTCCCAAAATAGATCATCCTGAATTCCATTTTGTGTTACTATACATGCCCTTTGATACTCTTCAAAAAAGGAGATAAGGAAAGATGACTCTCCAGGATGTTTTTTGGGGAGGGCAAGAATAGCATGTATCATCTTTCATGACAAAACTTGTATGAACTATTTAGGTAATCTTGTATCGATTTATAAGGTTGATATTTAAGTACTGTGGTATCTTGCATTGTGTTAATGATTATATGACGTAAGAAGCATGCTATTTTTAGATTATTTTTTTAAATCTCTGTCATGAACATCCTTAGTATTATCAAGAATGTGTTTGTTATTTGATGATTATTGATACTCTATCTAATTGTTGAGGTTTTATGTAAGGCTTTTCTGTTACATTTTTCTCATAACTTCCTGTATTGTTAAGAAAAAAAGATGAAGTTGTGTAGGCTGAAAGTATAAGATAGGGGTAATTTTATTTTACCAACCAATTTTTTAACAGATTTTTACAAATATTCGTGGTAAAGAAAAGTGTTCGTAATATAAGAGAATGTAATAAATTTTGAACTTTATACCATTGTTTTGTTATTATTAACATAAGGTCACATCTATATTTAAAGTACATCACTTTGCTGTCTTGTTCTTTAGTTTAACACCTTCCTACCCCCAATAAAAACAACTTTGGGGTACAATTTTGAGAATAGAAATAAGACTGTCACAGAGAATCAGGCTCAGTATAAACATGGACATATTTCAGATTTTGTAGATCATAAAATACATTATAATTGAAAATTGGTACAGAATTGTTAAGATATAGATGGTATTTGGTTGTTTTGAATGAATATGCTATATATCACATTGAGAAGAGAGAAAATTAAAATATTTTCACAAGCATTTTCGCACTTTGAAATTTAATGTATCTAGGCTTAAACCTCAGTTGACCTACTTTAAAACCTGTAATGAAATTACAGTGATGGCAGGAAGTGTCAGTTTATATATTTATAATATTATAACGGAAATATCATCATCACCATCATGATTATTGCATTTATATGCTATTGTCATTTAAGATGTTCAGTTATCAAATTGTTGTAAAATGAAATGATTTTGTATACACTGTTTGAAGAATAGTGAGGCTAACTAACATATCTTCAAAACAACTGATTATTCACCCGAAACTTAATATATGTCCTCAGGATAGCTGGATGTTCAGCTTCACTTACTATAGCTGTAAGGGTTTTTTTAAATCTAGTACTGACATCAAAAATCAGAATAAAATAGTACTTTAGTTAATCATTAGTGAGCTTGAAATAAATATTTGAACCATTTATCAATAAGTCAACAGCTATAATCTCTTGGGCAACTCAATTATTTATCCAGCAACAGTTTTTTTTACCTTATCGAAATGGAGTGTTCATATCTCCTTCAATTTATGTTTTGTTGGTCAATATTTTACATACTCTAAAGTTAGATTTAAGGCTGATATTCGTAAAGTAGCTCTAAATGGTTCAATTAAAAGTAACACATTTAATAAAGGCTGGAGTGTTTTTTTAAGGAAAACAAAAAGCAATAAACATGTAATTTGCAATACTTGTATGTCGCTTTTAAATCATATTAACAAAATAGGTTCTTTGCTTGTGCTTTGAAGATTGCTGGCTTGATTTTTTTTTCTAAATTGAAAAGACCTCCCAAAGATAACATACAATTATTTTACCTGCACCTATTTCATGGGCATGTTAGCTGAGGACTATGGCCTTAAAAGGAAAGCATGTGAGACCCAAATACTGATGTCAAGTTTTTTAATGATTTGTTTATTTTACAATTAGTTTCAAAATGCAGGATTAAGTTAACTGTTAATTATTGGGTGATAAAAAATTGTTTTAGTTCAATGGGATAATGTCAGTCAAATGTTTTAAACAATTGTAATGATTCCGCTTAAGGTCAGTTTCATCTTTGATCAATAAAATGTTGAATTATTTTGTTTAAGATAAATAATTATTTTATGGATATGCAAGATTATTTGCATGTGCAGTCCTGTTATGGTATTTATGAAGTACTGTATCTTCGGGCATCTCAGTACAACAAAATGACTTTATCACTTACAAAACAGCATGATTTAAGATTATCACCAATGTAGGACAGTGTTATAACCGAGTACAAACTGGAAGGTTCAAACTAGATTTGTCACTACCGCCATTGGCATTTGATATCAAAACATTCAGATAGATGAGGAAAACATATCGGGATGAAGTAAATTGGTTATATGTCTGACATAATAATGGTCAGAAAATAACTTTACAGCTGTATAGATGATGGTAACGTGGTGTCACTTGGTGCATTTTCAAGGACAAGTTGGCATTCCAAGTGTAAGTAACTGTTATAAAATCTTGTTATATGTTTTTTCCTGTTTTTTTGTTAGTCGTTCAAAGTGATGTTTTGTTACTTATTATGACCTTATATTACCTGTTCTAGAATGCCTTTCCATACATAAAGAATAGTTGATATAGATAATGAAAGTGTGACTATTTAAATAATGAGAGCCTATAATAATGCTTAATGATTGAAATAGCTAGGAAATAATGATGTCTCATCTAAAGGACTCCCATTCACCATGTTTAACTTTAAACATTCTAGAACCATAAGTGTTTATAAATCCTTCCCCACCAGTATAGAGCTAGGCCAGTATGCACATCCATACAGTCTGACCAGACTATATATTGATGGCTGACCAACTTCAGATTTTCATCGAGATATCCTTTAAGTTTCAAAATTGTTAGCCAGACAGGTCCATTTAAGAAATGTAGCAGGTTTAAGATAATTAAGCTGATCTAGTGACATCATACATCATTCCCTGTTTATAATTTGTCATATATACATGTAACATTAGTAAAAACAGTGTTACTGAATCATCATTTCTGTTGTTATTTATCTTGTCTGATAAAAGTGATCCCTGATAAACTGGATTATAATAAAATCTTCTATTGTTTAACTATTTGTACATGAAGGTTTAATTGTTTTAATATTCAACATCATGTTTCATATGAACATTGTGAAATATGGTAACTTTAACATGGTGAAATATTTTCAGGAATATCATTAATACAGGTGTCACAATATACACAGTACAGGTGTTGTATTAGTATTTGTAATTTTAATTACTTCACTGTATCATATAGTTCACAAGTTGTAATGTAAGATTTTAATAATTTGAAAATTCTATTATTTTTGGTGATATGTTATAGCATATTAAGTACATAAACTTGAAATTCATCACTATGTATAGATATTTTACAATCAATCTTTATATGTTTGTAATATTAAAAACTATGTGCACTCAAGTTTATATTAATAAAGTCTTTTTTGATATAGTATTTTCATAAAAAATCTTAGTTCTGTTAAAAATATAATACTGATGATAAATGCATTAGCTGTTATTTGTGTATTAACTTTTTAAACAGTTTTATTCAGATTTTTAAATGCATGTACATGTTCCAAAAATATAATTAATCTGTAAAAAAATAAATAGTCTGTGGTCAGTATAATTTACCTTGTGATACCTTGTGATGTTTGGGAAACTTTATTAGTCCCCTAACGGACTATCTTCCCCTCGATTTCTGTTTTCAGTGTCGTCCGCTCCGGTATTGGTCTATCTAATATATATTGTCCATTTTAAATCTCTTCCATTGCCAGTGTTTATCTAATTTAGATTTGAACTCATTTACATTCTTTGATAAAACTATTTCACTGGGAAGTAGGTTCCATTCGTTAACGACTCTATAAGTGAAGGAATTTTGTCTTATTGCCTTTAGTGTCTTAACTTTTCTAATTTATAAATATGTCCTCGGATTTTCATGATTTGTAACAGATAATTTGAATAACTTTTCATAGTCAAAATCGTCTATTTTGTGAATAAGTTTAAAAAACTTGTATCATATCTCCACGTTGTTGTCTGTATTCAAGAGTTGGTAAATTCAAAGCCCTTAATCTTTGTTCATATGTGAGTCCTCTTAGTTCAGGGATGATTCTTGTAGCTCTTCTTTGGGTATTTTCCACTAGTTGTTTATTTTTCTTTGTAACAGGGTAATAAATGATATTTCCATAATCAGTGATTGGTCTTATAAGACCTTTATACAATAACAAAAATTGCTTCTTATCCATGTGAACAAAATTTCTTTTCAGCAACCCGATATGTGAGTTTACTTTATTAACAGTGCGACCGATGTGCTCATCGAATTTCAAATTAGACGCAAAATTAATACCTAAGTCCTTTTCCTTGTCAATGATTTCAATATCAACATCAATACCAGTGTTGTCTTTCATTTTGTATTTTGTATCAAAATTGCTGTTTCCAATCCACATTATCTTACATTTGCTAGAGTTGAATCTGAGTAACCAGTCGTCACTCCATTTACATAGTGTATTAATGTCATTTTGAAGTAATTGTTGATCAGACATATTTCTCATAATTCGATATAATTTTGTATCATCAGCAAAAAGTCTACATACACATTTAACCGCTTCAGGAATATCATTCACAAAGATAACAAACAATAATGGACCTAATACTGATCCTTGTGGTACACCAGAGATAACATTACTCCACTTGGATATATTACCATTAATTACAACACGCTGTTTTCTATCTAAAAGAAAACTTTGAATCCATTGATGCAATTTCCCTGCAATGCCATATGCTGAAAGTTTATGAAGTAAACGTTTATGGGGAACCGTATCAAATGCCTTAGCAAAATCAAAATAAACAGAATCAACTTGTAAATTTTCATCCAAAGCTTCAGTCCAATCATCCAATACTGATAATAGCTGTAAAATGGTGCTTCTATGGTCCCTAAATCCAAATTGACTATCCGACAACATATCATGCCTTTTCAAATGTTCAATAATTCCCTGTCTAACATTTCGCTCCAGCATTTTACATACAATAGAAGTTAATGAAACAGGACTGTAGTTACCAGGATCAGATTTTTGTCCTTTTTTATAAATACAAGTCACATTTGCTAGTTTCCAATCATTAGGTATATTTCCTTCTTGTAATGATTTTGAGAATAACGTGTGTAGAGGCATGTATAGTTGATAAGCACATTCTTTTAAAAACTTAGGATGACAATTATCTGCGCCTGCGGCTTTTGAAGTATTTAGGGAATTCAACTGTTTCAAAATGTTCTCAGAGTTTAGATTAACCATATCAATATACTCATTTGAATCAATTCTGCTCTCAAAAACTGGCATATTTGAATCACCTTCCTTTGTAAAAACGGATGTAAAAAAGTCATTTAAAACTTCAGCTTTGCTACTATCATCTGTTATTATGTCTCCATTTATATCTTTCAAATCTCCAATTCCTGTTTTTGATTTAGTCTGTTCTTTTACATAACCCCAGAAGTTTTTTACATTTGTCTTAATATTATCTGCTCGATCTCTATCTCTCAATGTTTCAATAAATTTATACGATATATGGTTTTCATTATGTATTGTCGGCCAGGAGTCCCAATTTATGTCCGGGAAGTTAAAATCTCCGACAATTACCAAGTTTTTATGTGTCTTTATATAATCA